GTTGCTCTGGATCAAGCATTTGTTTTGCAGGTAATACAGGCTGTCACAGGTAATTCGTTAGAGTGACAATGACCAGGATTGCTAATTGGAGATAAAGTTCAGAATATGGTGAAGTGTGTAAAGGCACGAGTTGGCCATCCTCCCATCTCAGGGTACCCATCTCCATGCTTTGTGGTACCTTGCCATGCTCCACTTAATGTCCAGGAAAAGGCTATTGGCTGACCATTATAACTAAAATTAATATGGGATGAGAATAAACAATACACTGTGGGACTCATTATTTGTCTTCCAGATGCAGGGGGTGAGGAATATATGGGAGTTACTGTTTACCTTACAGTACTTGTATTCTGATGGCCACAGTCCAGGCCCTGACTAATGGTTTTGAAATGCTGAGGACAGAAGTTAAACAGGCATCTACATCCCAGACCCCACTAGGGAAACCCTGATTAGTGTGCAGAGGGTGAGAAGCAAGGGAAGCGCTGGAACTTGAAGCCTGGCCAGGAGCATAAAACCCACAGGGCTTGTGGCTATTGCAGGTAATAACAAAGGGACAGTGTCCATAGGAGGGTGAGAGAGACGGCTCAGGGAAGGGCAAGCCACGAAGGCAGCAGGCTGAGGAGCCAGATGGTCTGTGCTGCAGGTTCCAGTCCTGGCTTAGGGAAGGCACAGCGGCTGAGCCGTGGATCTGCAGTGGGATGTGCCCGCAGGGCTGTGTCAGTCCCCGCCGCGCAGGACCCTGCACAGCAGCGGGGGTCGGGGCAAATGGAACCTCTGAAGAACCTCAAGTGCCTGTTGGGAAAGACAATGGGTAAGAACATTGGGAAACCTGGCAAGCACTGCTGGCAGCTTGTTTTTATAGCTTCTTTGGAACAAGTTTCACAGGTTTCCAGAATGCTGCGCTCTTCTCATACTGTCTGATTTCTCATTATGTTTCATAGATTATCTGGGTCTTGGTGTAATTATTCTGTTTTAAAATGTCAGAGAAAAATGACATGCAGGAGCTTGGCACAAATGGAAGTCGAGTAGTTTTAATTTTTAGGTTTTCAAGAAACAAAGTATTGTAGCTGTACTATCTGAGTAGTGAAGAGAAATTCAAAGAGAAAAGGTGGTAAAAGTCATAAATTGAAGCATTTTTTTAGGCCATGAGCAAAGAATTATAGCCTGTGCTGTGAGTATAAACAACTCACCCATGTAAGTCAAATGACTAAAAATATAATTTTCTACTTAGTGAGACCATGGTACTTTCTGTCAGAATATAGTTTGAGAAAACATCACCATCAAAAATCCTGGTGAGGAAGTTTCTTTGCTTTTCTTCTTGCAGAGGTTTTACTGATTTGTGTTATTTACGAGGGACTGACCAAAACCAGTCATATTTTGCTGGACACGATACAAAGTGTAGGGTAAGAGGTAATCTTCCTGCCTTGGAGAGTAGTATAGGAATAGACAAAAGAGGGAGAGTGGTAATACAGAGCTATTCATGTTGTGATGATAAATGGGATGTTAATTCTCCCTTTTTGGCAGAAGAATATTGTTTAGGGATTAGAAAGACAAGGAATAGGGGAAACTTGTAGTAAACAATAGGGAAAGAGAAGATGATAAGGGCTGTGGAGCACTGCAGAGGTGGAAGGACTGAGGTGAGATTGGAACAAGCTTGGATCAAGCATCAAGAATGGCTTAAGCCCAGTCTGAATAGAGAGAATATTTTCAGTTCCTGCTTTTGCTTTTTCTACATCTTCTCTGCTGGTGTCGTGCCTGGCTGTTGACTCCGTGAAGTTCCTTTTGCAAAGCTTCTGCGGCTTGAGTCAGAGGAAATCCTGTCTGAGGGGAACACACTGACAGAGGGTGTCCCAGCCCTTGGCACGGTGTGCTGCAGGTGGGGAATGGGCACCAGGACTGCCCTCTCTCCTTTCCTCCAGACCGAGCCCCTGAGAAGCTGCTCTCCCAACAGGAGCCAGGCTTTTAAGCATGCAGAGTGTATCTTGCACTTGGGTAAGAAGTGTGGCAGGATATGCAGGGTTTATAAATTTTACAAGAGTAAATGGACTCTTTTGATACACAGGTTGTAAGAAGTTTATCAGTAGGATTTAAATTCAAGTTGCAATTCTGAAGATATGTCTGCTAGTGATACGACAGGTACAAGGGTTGCAACAGCAGTGTGACAATTACAGCTGCCATAAGAAAAAAAATATTTAATGTAAATTTTTGAAGAATTCAACTTAAAAGGCAGGAGAATTACTAAAAGGTAAATGTTTCTGAAAGTCTCACTTAATTCCACATCTTCAGATATCTTAGACAAATTAAAAATGCCCCCCATCTCAGGACTGGTGTCTTAGAACTTATTGTTTTGTCTCTGTAGAACACTTACCTTGTAGAAAGAAGTTCTGGAAAGTTTGTTTTCTTAGGACTGTAAATTTAATTAAATCATTATAACCATTTTAAATGTGATCTCATTCAAAGACAAGATTACTTCAACTTACTACATATACAGGAAAAAACACAGTAGCTGTAAATTTAATTAAATCATTATAACCATTTTAAATGTGATCTCATTCAAAGACATATACAGGAAAAAACACAGTAAAAATCTAACCCTTGAATTTTTTATATAAGAGTAAAGTAATTTATTTTTTAAAAGCTTAAGCCTTTTTTGTTAAGCTAAAGACACATAAATTAAGTTGTTGGATATGTGTTTTTAAACTCTGGCTAAGAACATGCCTTGCTTTGTAACAGCTAAGTAGTGTAAATATCTTTCTTCACTCTATTTATTGTCTAGTATATTCCAAAACCATTTTTATGCATTGTGTTAAAGTGGCTGTCTTTCCTTTCACCAGTCAAATCCATTTACAAAATTCTGTTTCCCAATTTGTGTCTCCAAATACAGACTTTTAAAATTTGTCCTTGGTTTTCCTAGCTCAGATGTGTTTGAAATACAACAAAAAGGTCTCTGAGGGACAAAACTGATACAAGTAGAACTACACTATTTTTGTTAGGAACATGATGTCAGTGTTTGAAAACATTTAAAAGAGGTTGAATTTTTAAAAAAAAAAATTATATAGAAATGTGGTCCTTAAGGCTTTTCTTTTTCCCTAATAAAACCACAGGTGCACATGGCTTCTTCCTTTCCTGAGGAGACCTCTCCCCACGTGTTGTGTGATGGCCGGGTTGTGTCACTTTTCTCATCCCAGGGTGGCGTGAGCTGATGGCTCAGCTCTCGTGGCCACAGCAGCGCGCAAGCAGCTCCCTTGGGAGGCACTTGTCAGGAGGAAAGCAGGAATGCACCTCTCCAGCTTATTTCCACCTTGGGTCTCGTTAGAGCAAGGCTGAGACTGCCAGTTGGACCAGAGCTGAGAACTCAACGTCTCTGGGAATAGCTCCAAGACCAGCGGCCACTGGCTGTGCGGAGCCTTCACCAGCACATCCTCAGGACAAGGTGGAGCTCCTCGGGCACAGCCGGGCTTTGACCAGGGTGCTTCAGGTGGTAGGTTATGGGGTTTGAAGCTGGCTACACAAAGTGCCCTGTTCCTATCACCCTCCTAATTAGTGGGTCTGTCTGGACCCTTCCTGCTCACAATCAGCTCCTCCACCTGCTCAGCTGGCCAAAGCCACCACCTGCCCTCGCTTCTCCAAGCAGGCTGTTTTTCATTCACAGCCCTGAAGTCTCCCTTCCATCCGTCCGGGGGTAAGTTGCTGTATTTTCCAGGCAATAGATAAAAAATAAGATTGACAAATGAGTTTAGCATATGACCATCATGCATCAGTTATTAAAAAGAAAGAATAGCTGGAAGGTCCATCTACAGCCTGTTTGCCTTGTCCATATGGGAAATGGAATTTAAATTACCACATTGCTTGAGGAGAAGTTTGTAATCCCAGTATAGTGAAGTCATGTTTTTCATGGGATGGGAACAGCAGATAGTAAGAGTTTCTGCAGTTAGCATGATATCAAATGTGATGGTAAGATACTTTAAAGTGTTTTTGTTGTAGACGGAAATGTTCAGATGCAGAACCAGCACTTCTACCTCTCTCCTTCAGAGAAGACACTGAGGAACTGCCATCAGCTTGTTTGTGTTTGCAGCATGCCTTCCAGGAGACCCACAGCTTGATTCACATTCTCACTGAAAAGGTGGAACAGCTTGCCAGGGCCTGTATTAGGATCACATTTATGCAGAGTATGAGGTTTTCCTTTCTTTTTCTTTTTCTTTTTTTTTTCCTTTAACAATACTTTTCTTGCCTTTTTTGGTTTGAAAACTCCTAATTCTTTTTCAGCTTACTGACAACGGGCATACTTCCTAGTTGAAGGTCTCTGAACATGGCGGGGTCATGAAACAACTTGAAAACTGTTGTAGCGTGAGGCAGAACAATGCTGAGTATTCATTTGGCTCTAGGAATTGTTAACAGAATAATCCCATCTGAAATTTATAGTAAATATACATATATATATAGTAGTAAAAATAGGGATGGTGATAGACCTTTGTCTGTGAGTTTGTATGGTCTTGTGCTAAGTGCTGTACAAATACAGAAGAAAAGTTCATCCCCAGCACCAAAAGATTTAGACTTCAGAGAGGTGGCTGCAGTCTGGTGGGAGAATAAGTAAAAACAAAACAGGGCATGGTTCAGCTGATGTCAAAGATGCCTGTGGATGTCCTGGAGTCTACAAGGAGTGTCTTCCATAAACAAAGGGTTAATGAGTGCCAAAACACTGGCTGAAAATTTAATGATTAGTTACTGAGGGGGGCATCATCAGGCAGAGCCAGGAGGGAAGGATGCTCAGGAGGGCTTGATAGATGTCCCTCAAGGATCAAGGCAGCACTGGCCTCTGTTAGAGTTTGAAGAACAGATCAAGAAGCAGATGAAATGAGAGGCAGTTTATAAAATATTCATTAAGTGGGTGCAAAAAACTGCACCATGCTAGTGTGAGATATGGGAAGGTTAAAGGAAGCTGTGCATACGCTGCTTAAACCTTTCCCTCCTATGCACAAAGGGTACAATTCATATTCTCTGTTCCTTACTCATCTGAAAGCTGTAGGTGTGCTATGAACTCAGTGTTGAAGCTCTCCCTCTACTCACTGAAGAAACAAAGGCAAGCACCAAGGACCAGGCAGACTTCTACAGAAGCAGGCTCTGACACGGGGCAGGTGAATTATTTTTTCTCTGTCTCTTGTCTTTATAATCTTGTCATGACACTTAACCTTCAGACAGTTAAAATTTGCTGAAAGGAATCCTGTGCCAGGTCTTCTCTTTGGTGAAATCCTTTATTAAGTCCTGTACATTTTTAAGCTTTAAAAATAACATATTTAAAAATGTAGTAAAATCTTCTAGCAAACTAGAAATTTATCATTTATACTATTATTATTATTATGTTGTTGTTGTTGTTATTTTTATTGTTAATACATTGTACAAAAGTCTTCTACTAAACTTTTTCACTAAAGTTCCCAGGGATAATCCAAACTACTTTTTCTAGAGAAAATGTATTTTCCAATCCTTATATCAAACAGAAGGGAAGTTGCAATTAATTTCACATTGCTAATATTTCCCTGCTAAGAACTGGAAACCATTCCTGTGACTTAGGGAGGCATGGAATATACATTTCTTGTTCCTATCCCCATCATGTAAGGAAATGTTCTAAATGTCAGTGTTGTAATGGGTTGTTTGTTTGTTTGTTTGTTGCAAAAAAAGATGCAACACCAATATTGAACACTTGGTCAAGGATAAAATTAAAAAATTGTTTGGCTTGGAAAGGACTTTAAAGATCATCTAGCTCCAACTCCCCTGCCACAGGCAAGGACACTTCCATGAATCCTGGCTGCTCAAAGCCCCATCCAACCTGGTCTTGAGCACCTCCAGGGATGGGGCATCCACAACTTTCCTGGGCAACCCATTGCAGTGCTTCACCACCCTCATAAGAGGAGCTTTTTTCCTAATATCTAAACCAAACCTGCCTTTTGTCAGTTTAAAGCCATTCTCCCTTATCCTATCACTACCTGTCCCTGTAAAAAGTCCCTCTCCAGCTTTCCTGTAGCCCCCTCCAGGCACTGGAAGGTGCTGTAAGGTCTCCCCAGAGCCTTCTCTTCTCCAGGCTGACCAGTTTCAACTCTCTCACCCTGTCTGCAGAGGAGAGGTGCTCCAGCCCTCTGAGCATCTTCACAGCCCCCACTGGACTCACTCCAACAGATCCATGTGTGTCTTATGTTGAGGCCCCAGAGCTGGATGGAGTACTTAAAAGGAATTTTTATCTAGAGCCATCCAAAAATAAAAACCACTGATAAAAACCCTGCTTTCTAGCCTAAAATGGAAGCAGTAAGAGTAAAAAAAAATATATATTTTCCGTAGATTTTGTCACAAGTTCTAATTCTGATGAGCTTTGCACTACAGTATTTGGGTGTCTCCACAGTTATTAATTTTAGTGTCAATGAAGCTGATTTGAGCTGCTGATCACTTTAGCAGTTTCTGTGCATGTTTCAAACAGTCTCACCAGTTTCCCTAGATGAATTGAAATGTGAGTGGCTAGATGCATCCTCTTCATCCAGACAGAAAAAAAAAAAATCCAATTTAAGTCAAATGGGGATAAAACAGATGTATTTAAGCATGAGACAAGCCACCTTCTATCTTAGTGATTTCAAAGTGAAGTGTTTGAGGGAAATATTATTTGATATCATGTGTGAGCTGTGCTTAGGACAGTATTCTTGACTGTTTAAATGGGCTAAGTAGGTAAAATAAAGTATCTCATTATGCACATGAGTATTATGATGACCTACTGCTTCTTTCTAACATGAATATTTTTTAAATTATTGCTTCAGGCTACCTTCTTTCAACCTCTCATGACTTGATAGCACTTCATCATCCCCTTCACAGTGATTTTCTTTCTAAAAAGTCAATAAACCCTCAACCCTTGAACCAAATCTCCTTATTGCCCTCCATGAATATTTTCCTGCAACTATTTTATGTTGCTGTAATGTTGTTACTCCCGATCACTGAAGTGAGGGAATCATTGCTAAATCAGTCTCTCTATACTCTAAGTGTTTGCATATCAGAGATGTATTTAAGGAAATACTCAGGATGTACTGAAATAAGCCTGAATTCTCGCATTTCTTTCAAGCTGTTGCAGGCTTTATCCCACATTTCCCTGACAGTTTGTCTACTTGATTTTTTTAGTGCTCAGTAGAAGTTAGAAGTGATCATTCATTTCTGCTTACTTCTACATTCCATGCAATTACTTTGATTTAAATTCTGAAACTGGGTTAGAGGTGGAATAAACCTGAAACCGTCTGAAAATTAGAACAGTTTATCTTTTTTAAAAAATGCAGGTATGTGAATGTGTAATCAAAAATAAAACTAGATTTGAGTTCATAAATTGACACTAATTTCCTGTGTTGTTTTTAGGAATGTAAAATTGCTCTGATAACACAGCTGAGAAGCTCATTAAATATGTTTGGTCATATAAAAATTAATCAGATGGGAAAGGCAACACCAGGGAAGTTGACTCTTGTTACAGGTAAGTGATTTCAGCTTTTGTTAAAATGAATGAATGCAAAGCAACATTTCTTCACATGAGTGTCTTCCTGATTGCCTAATTAGAGAGATTGTCACTAATTATAGTAATGACTGTCAACACACAACTTGTATGGACAGGTTTATGCCTCTTTACAACCAAATATTTTCAATAAGTAATTTTCACGTGGGTGAAATCCTGTTGCTGTAAATGCTGACATACAGCAGTGCAACAGCAGGTAGTGAGGGGGCAGGAAGATAATTATTACATGCATATTTTATATGTGTATCTGTAAATATTTATGTTTATTTATATATTAATATATTATATTGAATATAATATTACAGTCATGGTGTCACTCTAACATTCAGGTGAGTTGTGCTAAGACACTTCTCTATTTTTTGAGTGGAATCATTAATATAGTCCCTGTACAATACAAGCTGAGTGCTGAATAATTGAACTCTGTCATGGGTGACTTTTAGTTTTCACATCAGATTTGGAAAGAAAATGTCTTAATTTGATCTTTTCTGCTTTTTGAGTATGTACTTTGTGCATTGCACAATATGGTATTCAATTGCAATCACATAAGGATACAAAAACTTTTGACATGGGAATCTTCACATTTCAGAGTTGGTTATTGAATAAATATAAGGAATTCTGTATTCTGCTTTAAGGCTTCTGAACATTTTGGATCTATGTTTTGAGCTGCAAATCTCATGGAAACAAGTTCTGCAATGGCACTTATTATCATGAGATTCTAAATGTTGTCAGCCTGGAAACAGTATGAGAATTGTATTTTGCCATTTTCACATCTGACTCTGCAAAATGCAAAATCCAGAGATGCAGAGAAATCAAAATTAATCTGATGAATTCATAGATTTTGATACATTTGGAGTTCTCACTGGAAGCTGTGGTAGCAGAGGGAAGGCCTCTAGCTCCAGAGTTATTTACAGCCATCCTGACGAATTTCTAATGAAATCTCTATTTCTATTCATCTAATGAAATTAATCTATGACCTGCACAATGTTCCCTCCATAACCACTGATCTCCACGCAGGTTGGAAGGAAGCTCCAGGATAAAGAGCACCGCACTGGTTTTCAAGTCATTAAAAATCTTTATAACTTAATCCAATAGGTCTCCAAATGTACAGCATTACCAGCTATCCATGTGCTGCATTGCAAGGACAGTTATCACCCTTTTCTGAACTTCACAGAAGAATGAAATGTTTCTTGAAGCAGAAGAGTTAACTGTCCTTTGAGAACACATACATTAAGATTTTCTTTTAAGCACTGTTGCAATATCCAAAACTGCTCAGATATTGAGAAAAATTGCCCAAATAAGTTTGAGGTGGGTTTTTCTAAATCTTTGGGTGGTCATTGGATTCATTAGAGTGCTGCATTCCAAAATTCCTGGCAAATTTCTTCCAGAAGTCATTGTGTCATTCAGCACTTTCAATGTATCTATATACTTTGATGGCTCCATTAAAAATTACCTTCACTAAGGAAAGAAATGATACTTGTGAGTCCACAATTAAAATTGTGCTGAATAATGAATGTTTAATACTTGATTTTTAAAAAAAAAGTTTGCAAGTTTGAGTGAATATTGCTGAATAAGATACTCTCAGAAATAAATAGCTTATGAGGAATAGAAAATTGGAACAACCATACCATAACAATCACACTGGTATAGATTTCTGATTTGTTAACTACTCTTCAGCCAGCTTTGATAACAGCAGTGAAGAATTATGGTACAAGCTTTGCCAAAGATCCTAAAACTATTTGTGTCAAGAAATCTTTGTGTGTTAATGGTGTTTTCTTCTTTTTTTTTCCTAAATATTTTTTTTTTCCTAACAAGGAAAGAAAAAATAAATAAACAAAACCCACCCCTGTGCTTATTAAAATCCTAGTTTCCCCTAAAAGATTATTTCCTCTGCTTCAGGAAGTTGGCAGGCAGCAAACCACTTCTAAATCAAGCTGCAAGCTGGTACTGCAAAAAGCAGAGTTTATTGGTACCAGACATTTTTAAATAAGTAATTGACACTCATGCTATAACAATAAGCAATTCAAAAAAAAAAAAAAAACCAAAAAAACAAACCCAGGGAGCTGACAGAACAACAGAGTTTATTGGTACCAGACATTTTTAAATAAGTAATTGACACTCATGCTATAACAATAAGCAGTTCCAAAAAAAAAAAAAACAAAAAAACAAAAAACCAAAAAAGAAAACAAAAAAAAACCCCAAAAAAACAAACCCAGGGACAAATTTGCAACAAGCTCTATCCAATGCCATATATCCATCCAGGTCAGTCCCTCCGTGGTGGTCAAAATAACAGCTCCAGGACCAGCTGGAGCTCTGTAAAGGGCATTTGTCTCCTGCTTTTTCCTCTTCCTTCCTTCTGCACAGACTTTCAGAGGGATCCCTAGGCATGGGCAGGCTCTGAACTATAGCAATGCTGTCCAAACAACACGCCTGAATCCAAAGCCTCTGGAATTACTGGGATTTGGACACACTGAAGATCAAGGTGAGGGGTATTCTACTTCCAGGAAATAGGCTCAACACTTCAGCTTTTGAGGGACCTGAGTCACTAAAACACGCTTTCCCTCTTTGGGTCAGCACTGTGGGGTCATGGCTCAGGAAAAAAGAGAGGGCATTTGCCTTTGCCCTGCTCTTAATTATTGTTCACAGGGTTTGCAATAGCATCTAGCCACTTTTTGAGGTAGCCTGCCCCCTGTACCCACTGTTTCAAGCTTTGGGCTGGCTCCCACCCTTGCCACCTCTGGCTTTTTTGGTGCTTTCCCCTTACCTCCCACATTTCTGCCACAAGGAGGGCTGTGAAAAGCCAGCAGAGCAGTGGCAGGGGGCTGCAGCAGACATCTGGGGCTTCTCAGTAACACACAGAAGCCAGGTAAAGTTGAACCTAAACAAATGGTAAGAATGGGTACAGGGTCTGCGTTGCACTGTAAGCATTCTTTGGCAGTGGTGAGCATGTGAAAATCTGTATTAGCTGATAAGGCACTTGAGCTGAAAGTCTTTATCTCAGTGAAACACTAGGATTTAAATGAGGGAGCACAGAACTTGAAGCTAACTCTGTTTCTTTACTCCTGTCTCATGCAACAAAAAAGAGATATCATACATCAGACTGGTAAACAAGGTAAGAAACCATAACTTTATTATAAAACAAAATTAATGATTCCTTTGTGTACACTGTGCCCAGAGCAAAAGAAATCCAAAACAACTGCTTTCCTTTTGTCAGGGACTAGAGGTAAGGTTGCCTGGGTGAGGAGGAAATGTTTGTTTTTACTCCAACACTGTGGGCACTAATTTTCAGAACATGTGACTGACAATCTGAAGAACAAGGTTTCTTTATTTTTTATAATCGTGGTCTTGATATTACGTAATTCTCTTAGCAATTAAGTTTTTGAAAGTTAGAAGATAGATCTCAAAACTCCTAAAAACCTGAGCTTAGAGCCTCTGTTATATGAGTTTCTGCTGGTTTTGACCTTCAGGACCTCTTTCTTAATAGGCTTTCCTAGAAGGAAAGGGAACTGGAAGGTTCCCTTTCAATACAAATACAAATTTCTTTGATAGCACTTACTTTTGCTAGTGGGGGTGATGATGCAGAGCTCTAAAATGAAAGCAGAGAGAGAAGGAATAGTTTAGGAATGTTTCTTCTCAGCCTCTGCCCAAGATAGTTTAGGGTGTTTGGTGAGGGCTTTTTTGCTGTTTCTGAGACAATGAGCTGGAAAGTCAGAATATGCAAAAGATGGCTTAAATTTCAGTGAATTCTGGTTTAGGTGGCAGATGCTGGATGTATGCTGTTGAAAGTGTTGTTATGGAAGCAGATAAATCATTTTGTTTTCATTAAAAATGTTTAAAATCATAAATACTATAGGTTGCAAACAAAATGAGACAAAGCAAATAGTATAGTAACAGATACACACCCACATTTATACTGTAAATCAAATATACGTCGTTATAAAGTAGAAATCTATTCTTTTTAGGAAAATTACTAAGTATTTCCAAAGAGATGTTGCATTGCTGAGGCTATTCTAGGCTAACCAGAAAATTATTTGAATTGTTCAGCAATAACATCTTGTGTACTTGTGTCATGACAGCAAATTTCTGAGAGGTTACTGAACCAAACTCATTCTTAATTCCCGTGATGAGTGATACAGTGAGTGAGAGCAATTATCCCAAAATTTAGCTGCTCTTTTATTCTCAAACTGATGTATATTTCCACAAAACATTGACTGACTGTCTTCTAAACAACCAAAGTTCAGTCTTTCGAAACTGCTTGCATGCTACTCCGTTCAGCTATGTGGCTCAGCATTTGTGGTGTGCAAGGAACTGCCTGTGCCTATTGTTTGTGTTCCCAGATTAAATCTCTGAAGGCTTTGGCAGTCTTTGTTGAAGTCATTGGGCTCTGAAAATGCTCACAACTTTATTATGTTGATGTTAAAATGTTGGAATTTTCAAAGGCCTACCAACCAAATATTGCAATGACAGTAGCAATACAATCACTCGTGCGACTTGGAGATCATTCCATCCCCTAAATGTACATCTGTTGGAGCAAAGGGTTACCAGAAACAACTAACTGGGATATCAAGACCATTGCTCAATAACCACAGGCATTATTTTGCAATATTTATTGTGCTCTGCCGGAGTTTTCCTGGGATCAGAACTTGGCTGGTTTTATTAACAGTATTTGCAGTTGTGTCACATGGATTGTTTCATGTTATTAGAGCTGAATGCTGTGAGCTGCCATTTCAGAATTGCTAGCTATAGATTTTGCAGGAGTGCATTTTCATGCTGTAGCCTCTAACAAAATGCTATGTAATTTGAATACCACCTTTATCTAGCATGAGTCCCTCTGGTATGTATCACTATCCAGGAAATGTGTCTGGATACCTTTCCAAATTAACCTGGTTGATTTTACATGACACAACCAGGTGCATTATTTTCAAAATGCATTCTTGAGTGTTTAGGATTAAAGCAACCCAAGAGAAGCATACAGGTTGTTGTCACTTAAACCAGTTTTGTAGAAATGATGTATGGGGATTTTAAGATGACTTTCATGTTCTTTACCAGAACTCAGCCTACACACAGAAAAAAGTACAATCAGATGTTTTTACTTGCATAGCTAAGAAAAATGATTGTTTTTTCAATTGATTTGCATGGCTTTCTGTAAAGAACTATTCTTCTTAAGCATCAGGTAAGGAAAAGAATATGGGTAAGATACTTGGGGAGGAATGTGAAAAGAAATTTAATATATTTAATCTTATTATACATTTTTCTACATTAAATTCAACAGGCTGCAAATATATTTTGCTACAAAGCTTTGTGTAAGAAATATCTCTATAAGAAAATACATCTCATTAAACATTTCCTGTAAATAAATTATCCCAAATAACTGTGTTTTGCAAGAGCAAAATGGCGGGTAGGCCAATAAGACAAGCTAAAAAATGCTGGGACCCCATTTCTGCAATCCCCCTGTTCATTTTCTTTTATATGTAGTGAGCACTTGAGCAGTGAGAGCATGTGAGCTCCTGTTCTGAGTATGTGATGCATCAGTGTAAATAAAACTTGTTAAAATTGGTTCCTGGACTTTTTTAGTATTTTGCAATTTCTGAGCCTTTTTCCTGTTTCAGTGATGTTGGAAAATGCCGGAGTAAGAAGGGTTATTTCCAGTAGGGAAGGAGGTGTGTGAAATACTCTTCTGCTTTAGACTCTTATGAACAATAAGGGCAATGAAGCTGAGGTCTGTGTTCTAATTAGGAAGGCTGAGTCAAGTAGTGTAGCTAAGCTAAAGCTTTAAAGCATCCCACTGGTGGAAAAATGTGTCAGGTAATGGTAATGTGGTCTTCAAAGTTAAACTACATACTGGCCTACCCATGTTGTGCAGAACTGAATAAACAGAAAAGTATCTTTTTATCTTTGTATCATAGAACATGAAAATGGGTAATTATAAATGGGCAATTACAACTTAGCAGTAGATCAATTATAGAATCAGACTTCTTTAAAGTAATATCAGTCTCTTTATCAAAGTTTATACAAAGGAATATTTGAAAATAAGTAAAATTTTAAAAGTTTGAAAAGACCTGGGAGACAAGTCACAGGAGAGAAGCTGTCCTTTTTTTAACCAGTACACAAACAACGTAGGGCTGGCAGCTGTTCCCACAGTCTATATATTTCTGTCATTCCTGGCAGAACACTCTAGAGTGACAGGACATCAGTTTCAGGCTAAATACGTGCTGGAGGCTGGTATGCTGTGACATCACATGATGTTTACAAGTCATTTGTGGTCATGCCATCTTCTTACATCCTCTTCTGCAGGAGAGGAGATGCTCACAAGACCCAACTCCTCTTTCTTTGCTGTCTCGAGAACAAATCCATTATGCTGCTGCAGAGTGCCATAGGACGTAAAAGTTTGAGTTTGCAGCACTATGCTCAAAACACCTCAGCAAATGTTGAGGTGTTGAATATATTGTATTATAACAGCAACAGAGAAACAACTTCAAAGCTCTTCCTTTTAAGTACTTCAACACTCTGCTATTTCTTTTGGAAATGTCTGTAATGCAAGAATGCTTAGGCAAGGAAAATATATTTAGGGCTAATGAGGTACTGTCCGTATATAATTCTGGATTCAGCATGCACACATATTTGCTTCATCTGTTCAACCCAATGCATATTAGCAGTAAACTGAGAAAAATACAAGTAATTAAGTGCCTTACTATGACATTGAACTACATAAAGCATTTCAATTTACCCATGTATAGGAAACAAAACCCTGTTTAAATTCCTCCTCTTAGGTAAACTGCTGCTCTCTTGAAATTTTGACATGGCCAGTTTTCACCTTCTACTTAGGGGCCAGCAAAACATAGCACTCTTGTCCTGCAGGAGTGCTTCCTTGCTGAATGTCAGCCCTGAATAACGAGGGCACGTGGACATTCACAGTAACTTTATTTCCATTTGGCCACATTGGCAACGTGACCAATAATGTGTTGACAGATGAGTCTTCCTGGCATGCACTGCTTCCTATAGGAGTACAATGTATATAATTTCTGTAAAAAATCCTTACCATGCTGTAGACCCAC